CCTAAAATAATTTTCTAGCTGTCTAAGCTATTTTGCAAAGGCGAGTGCCATAAGGGGGTATACACCTGTAGTGCGTCTTCACTAAAAATCTATTTTTCTGAATATGGTGGATATTGGTGAACATTGGAATTTTGTTGCTATTAACAATCTAATGCATATCCACTTAACTCACAGCTCTATTCACTCATCAAAACTAGTTAAATTAGAAAATGTGGATATTTGCTACTAAAAATTTTTAGACGTCATCATTTACTAATTTTCAGTGAAAAATGTTATGTTTTCATGTTATTATGTGTTAAAACACTTGCTTTACATCCGTTTCCCAATGTATCAGCCATTTAACATTTTTTGGTAAAAATCTGTGGTATCATCACGACAGTATGTGGATATTTGCTACCTACTACCCTAGTGATGATGATGATGATGATGATGATGACGATTACGATGATGATGATGATGATGATAATGCTGGTATGGTGATGTTTATGGTAATGACAACTAGCGGTGATAGGGATAATGATAATGATAATAATATCAATGCCAATATAAAACTTCCATTCACAGAATTCTGCGTGCAGTACAACACACTTTAACTGATATATTTCTATGCTGCAGCATCGACCTGTGTCCAGAGCTGATGTCCTTGCACATTGGGGATCGAATATTGGAGGTGAATGGAACACCTGTAAAGGAGCACTTGATAGATGAGGTATGCATATCAAATATCTAGCTCTCATATTAGGCTTCCCATAAAATAATTCTTGTCTGTCGTAACCTGGGCTACTGAAGGCAATCTGATTAAAATAATGTGATACTCTTTTTTAATATGATTTTTTTGCCTCCTATTAATTTGGTTAATTATTTGCTTGTTATATAAATTTCATGGCTATAGCAATATGTCTATAGAGGTTGCACATTATTTTTAGCCTGGCAACCGCTTCATAAATAAAACGTAATAATAAAATAGTAAATAAGATTACCTTAACTGTTAAGTCTGTTATTGGTGGGCGTCCATAACTGTAAGTCTGTTATTGGTGGGCGTCCATAACTGTAAGTCTGTTATTGGTGGGCGTCCATAACTGTAAGTCTGTTATTGGTGGGCGTC